AAATTATATGTTTAGACTAATCTGGATGAACATAAAACACACATGATACTAAAAACTTTAATATTTGAGATTATTGTTTATAATTAAAATCAGTGCTGCAATGTGTTGGGAAATTAATAGTAGAATGAATTTACAGGTGATGATTTTAGCTTGAGTTCTCTCTCTCTCTCTCTCTCACACACACACACACACACACACACACGCACACACACACACACACACACACACACACACACACACACACACACACACACGCACGCACGCACGCACGCACGAACGTGTCAACCCCTTCCTCAAAATCCATCCACTACCCAACCTGCAGAGAGAAACTGTCCCTAACGCTCATTGAATTAAGTCTCCAGAGGAGACAGGAGCAGAAATCGTGTTAATAGCTGTCCAGTGTACCGAAGCCCGCCAAGGAAGCCTACAATCACCCAAATACCCAGAGACAGGTCGTGGGTGCTCCAGGCGGAGCTTGCGCCCTTCCCCTCAGCGCCACCGACCCCAGCGCGTGCCAAAACGGGCCCCACCAGCTCCTCTGAGCTCGTTTGGACCCATCTCCTCATGTCGGGGGATCCTCACGCAGCAAGCGAGGAGGAAAAGTTGCCAACTCATCTTTAAAAGGTCGCTCAGAGGGTGAGAAGACTTCAGCAGCGCGAGAGATTACTCTTCAGTTTGTTAATTTAAGGTGAATTTAGGCGCAGCATGCTCCTGCAAATACATTGCATAAAACATGAAAAAAGTCGAATAAAAAGACAGTTTATTAAAATAACATTTAATGGCTTACCCATGTGTTATACTGTGGGTTTGGTTTTAACGGTGTGGAAAAGGTGAAATGAAGCAAACTGGGTCCAAGCGTAGATATTTATTATTATTATTATTTATTATTATAAAGACATATAAACGATATATGAAATCCATGTTTTAACACAACCAGAATCAATTTATAGGCTGCAATTATGTAGCTATTAGTATTAGTAATAACCGGGATAAAAGCACGAGATTCTCCAAAGTTGTACAATACAATCATGAGATGTGCAAGAACTGGAAATGAAAGCAAACGTGTCATAAAAATTGAACATCAGATCAGATTTGTGTCGGGAAACTTTCGGTTAGGTCACGTGTTGTGGTAATTATTTGTATTTTGCATAGATTACAAATAATAACAGAAGCTTTCTAAAATGAGACTCCTAATTTGGACACGGCCTGTGGTGTAAAGCAGGCAAGCCACAGAGACAGGGACGAGGCCTGGACTTGTTTTTATTTTTCCTATCCATTTTTAAATTCTGGATGAAACATAGCAGAACGAATACTTATCTTACAAATATGCATTAGAATGAAATTGTAGGTTTTTTCTGCACAGAATAATTTTAAAATAACTAGAGTGGGACAGAGACCGACGTTGGGTGCAGTAAATGTAAAAGTCCAGGAAAGAAAAATGTGACTAAAACAAATCAAGGCTTGTCGTTACAGTGTTTGAAGAGAGTCGACGGAGCTCCGGAATAAGTCGAACACTTTTCGGCACAGGTGGCGAGCGTGGAGCCCGAGAAGGGGTAGACGGCAGCCTGTCCAAAGGGCGCCAGGGCGGTGGGGATTGGTGAGGTTATGGTCTGTCCCTGGTTCAGATACGCCACCAGCCGCCTCATCTCCTCCAGCGCCTGCGCCTGCATGAGGATGTAGTTCTTGGCCAGGAGGAGAGTGGCTATTTTGGAGAGTTTTCTCACCGAGGGGCTGTGGGCGTAGGGGATAACGGCGCGCAGACCGTCCAGCGCGTCGTTCAGATCGTGCATCCTCCTCCTCTCCCGGGCGTTGATGCTGAGCCGCAGAGACCGCTGCTCCTTCGACTTTTTGGCCAGGGGCCCCCCGGGCTTGTCGTCCCCAAACGGGGAGCCCCTCTTCCGGGACTCGAGCGAGTCAAAACCGTCTTCGTCGTCACTTGTGTGCTCCCCGCCGCTCTCGTTGGACTTTGCTGTTTGGCCAGAAAGGAAGTCGGTTGCAGGTGTGAGCGGGAAGCGGCCGGGGCTTCCAGCACCATGGCCAGCTCCGAAACCGAAGGCTGACTGGCCGTAGCGCTGCGTCAGGTCCAGGAGCGCGTCGTTGCTGATTGACTTGAGCAGGTTCTCTTCGTTGGCATTCATTTTTCTCTTCCAGTGGTTGTGAGCAGGAAAAAGTCGGATCTCCTCTCCTTTATCCAAGCTTCTATCAGCGCACTGTAGTTCTGTCGGAGTTTCACTTTGAGTTTCCTCACTCCTCTACCCTGTCGATGCTGTGACTCTTCAGGAAGGAGGCTTTGATTGTGATGCGTTCACCTCCTCTGTACACTACACTCCCCTCTTGTTTCGCGCATGTAGCCCACGTTCATCAACACTTGTGTAAACTGCTCGGTGAGACCGGAGCGCTCGTCTCACCCCTCTGCGCTCGTTTCCTTCTCGTTCCTTGCCCTCCCTCGCCTCAGGCGGATTGTGACTGGCGCTCTGTCCTGCTCTCAAGTTAGAAGGAGAAGGAGCGGGGGCCCACCGGGAATTTCCGTCCATCCAATCAGGGGGGCGTTTTAATTAACTCGGGAGGAGCGGAGGTCTGCTCCCGATTTCTATTATAGCAGACATCAGGAAGCGCGATACGAACTGACGTCTGTCTATTGTGATCAACACAATGCTGCACTTTTGGGACTATATATATATATATATATATATATATATATATATATATATATATATATATATATTTATATATATATATATATATATACACACACACACACACACACACACACACACACACACACACACACACACACACACACACAATGCAGGTAACGTGTCATGGACTAGAAAACAACGCTTCCATATTACAGACAGGAAAAGAAGCCACTTACCTATACGAAGGGACTCATCAGGGAGGTTGTTCAGCGTTATGGAACGAGGCCTATAGGGTTCTGTCTGATAATTAAAAATAAAACTTTAAAGGTAAACTTTTGTTCTGGAAAAGAGACAGGAGGTCCATAAAGCAAAATGTTTCAGCTTTACCTGTTTTATCAGACTAAACTAGTGAAGAAACATCATTTACGACATCACTGTAAGATTTAAAATGTCAAGAAACACAATGGTGACTCATAAACATAGGTTCTCAATTATGCAAGGGCATAATCACCAGATATTTGTGATGTTCATAATATAACGAAGAAGAAATAATTTCCTGAGTTTATAGGAACAGGTGTCCTGTTACCGATTGAGATTTTGTTGTAAACACAAAAGCAACAGCGCCACCCGGTGTCAATATTGAAGCATTGCATTCTGGTAGTGTAAGCCTCGTGAATGATTACAGCTAACTTGTTTTACATATCTAAAGTACATGTTAAGCGCCGACTTGTGGAGAAAGCTGGGAGTGTAGCTCGTTGGAAATTGGAGTAAGACACTAATGGATGCATGTTTTAGTTTGTTTTAGATTGGATATTTGATCATCGTCCTCTGACTGATGACATGCTGTGTTTTATTCAAGAACCTTGCACCTTCAATAGAATTAGACAGTGTTGTAGTTTTTGTGCTGTGTTGGTTCAATCCAAGCATCTCTGGAAACAACAAGCAGGCCCACGAAATCTCCTCTGGCCAGAAGACGAGCACCATGGTTGGCATCAGTAATCACAACAATCTGTCTTTATTTACAAAAACCTACCGCTGTTCACTAGTGCAACTCCTACTCACTAATCATGTGAACAATGTGGAGTCCTAAATGGTAAAAATGCAAAACACAAAATATGTATAGAGTAAAATGTTAGAATTAAGGTAAAACTCTCACTCACTTTTTGACTTTGGGAGGACATCAGAGACAATTACCGGCAGATACACACCCATAAATGTCTGACTGTACTTGGTTATTTCAAAAACGTATTTGATATTTTATCATTTTAAAACTGACTAGAAATCCTGTATGCAACACACATGTTAATCTAACCCATTAAAATTGTAGACGTGAATGTTGTTGCCTTTAAGCTTAACATATTACCTTTACTTATGACCAATAAGCTGTGATACTCTATATAAATATAGATTATCAACCTGCTTGGTCTTTGGATGTTTAATCAGAAGATTCTAGGATTCTTTGCTTTTTCAGGGATTTAACACACTTCGTCTCAATTCAAACAGAGTCGGGTTTATAAAAGATAAGAAATTTGTTTTCTAAACAAATAAAAGCATGACAAGTTAACCAAGGCTACTGTGATGGATGAATCTAAGAGGATGGGATGTGATGTATGGTGATGGTGTGTGTTTATCAGAACCTTTTATCTAGTAGAACTAAGTTCTGGGTGTGAAAAGGAGTTTGGTTTGCAATAAACTATGAAGTTGGTTCTTAACAAAACCACATCAGATGTGTGTCTACCGCACCCTTTCTTTGGAGACCCTCTTCGCGGATCCGGAGGTCAGGGAGGTCGGACGACCACTGGGCACCGAGGTTTGGTAGATTAACCACAGCACCGACTCTCCAGTCCAGAGATGTTTCCGAGTCACAACAGATAGATGAAATCGTTTGCGTCTAGAAGGACTCTTAGGGAGTCGGAACTGTATCAGCTTTGTTCTGCAGGAACCGTTTGCTGTTTCAGCTTCAGCGTGTAGCAGGTTTTTGACAGCTTGTCAGAAATGCTCTGGGTTAAAGAGGGTTCGCTCCGGAGGACCTGTCCGTAGCTTTCTCTAGAACGAACTCACTGTCAAGTGAGCTCTGTTGTAATATTCTCATTTTATGATTTCTTGGCCAACCGGGATGTGCCATGTTAAGGGGTGTTAAACAAACCTCAGAACATCACACCTTCTTTCAGATATAGGATGCTCTGATTTGTGCCTAAGAAAATATCTATGTGTCATGACTTCTAACTTAACTTTAATTTATTTCTAATGAACCTTGTGTCTGAGTGTAGATAATGATTCACTTGTCATATCAAACATTACTGATCATCATATATATAAATCTTTCAATGTAATAATAACATTCATTTCAAACTTCAGTAATTCAAGCACAGATTAAACAGCCTTATTAATTTATCAACCATTTTTGTTCATTTCATTTCGCAATTGATTTACTCATATGAGCTGAAAATAGTCACTTTATTCAGAGATTGAGCAATCCTGTGGCGTTATCAAAAGAAGGCTTTGTTTGGGAACACAGCCTGACATCTTGTTCCTCCTGAAATGTCAACAAGGCTGCAGCATCCTTCTGGGCTTGTTGGAAGCTAGGATGTAAAATCCACTTTAGAGAATGGAATTTATGTCTGCAGATGACCGGTGGCATGTAGGTCAATCTGTAGGTGAAACTGACCATTTCTGGACATTGTATATTCATTGTGTCTCTGATGAATAATTTAACAATTAGATTGAAAAAGTTAAATTCTTAGTCTGTTTATTTTAGTTTTGATGGATCTGGCCTTTTCCTTCAGGAGGCATGTTGATGCAGCAGGAGCTGCAGGTCCTTCTGGGAGATGAATGTTAGTGTCTGAGTCTTTGTTCCTGTTGGTTTCAGCGTAGCTGCTGAATCACACTCTGGTCACACTGACATTATTTCCCTTGTATAATAGGATGTCTATGTTGTCAAGTTATTATTATGGTTGGAAATTCAACCACAATGTGTTTTGAACACTTTTATAAAGGTGTAAGGAGGTAAAATGTTTGTGTGAGTCTTTGTGAAGGTGATAACCAAAGACTAGCACTGAATCGCAAAACACGAAAACACCTGATCAAGCATAAATGAGTCTGTTTAAAAGAATTAAACAACTGTGGATTTGTTCAGGAGGTGTGAGTATGTGAAACCAGGCATAGTTGTTTAAAAAAACACAAATGAAAGAGAATGAAACAGTGAGACAATTTAAAGAAAAACACTCCAAAAATGTGTTCCGATTACAACAACACCACTGACAAAAAAAATAATCAAAAATCAAATAAAATAAAAATAACCCACAAGAGACAAATTAAATAGATGTTTAATTTGATTGATCTCAAATTCATATTTATTTTTGGACCTTTTCTATTGTGAAACATCCATTGCACACTGCAAAATAAAATACAAAAACAGGACATGACATATTTAGACTATAGCTTTGATACGATTCACCATCAGATCCTGTTGTGCCGTCTGAAGCAGTGGGTGGGGCTCTCTGGAGCTGCTTTGTAGTGTATGAGGTCCTACTTTTCTGACAGAAATTTCACTTCAGAGGATGCTCCACTAAAATGGGGGATGCCTCAGGGATCTGTTCTGGGCCCTCTACTGTTTTCCATCTACCTACTCCTCTTGGGAATGCTTTTTCGAAGGTACGATGTTAATTTTCATTTATACGCAGACGACTACCAGATTTACTTGCCAGTGAATCAGGGGTCACTCAGAATGCTTCAGCCTTTGGTGGAGTGTCTGAGTGAGGCACGTGCTTGGATGGCCTTAATGAGAGTAAAACTGAGGTCATAATTGTCTCTCAAGGTGATCGTCAGTTACATGGTCTGGATCTTTTAACATTGACTCAATTTAAGAGGACCGTGATCACTGATCTGGATGTTAAGGTAGATTCCACGCTGGCAATGGACTCCCAGGTGAATTCAGTAGTGAGATCTTGTTTCTTCCAGCTAAGACGTTTCTCTAGGATAAAGCAAATGCTCTCACGTCAGAGCCTGTAGATTGTGACACATGCTTTTGTATTGTCTAGGCTTGACTTCTGTGATTCCCTGCATGCCGGACTGAATCAGTCAGCGCTGTCTAGGCTCCAAATGGTCCAAAACACTGCAGCAAGATTCATCTTTGGGAGCAGAAGTGGGATCATATATCACCGGCTCTGTATGCACTGGAATGGCTACATTTGAAGCAATGCATCCAATTTAAAATTCTGGTTTTAGTTTTCCAGTCGCTCACAGGTACAACTCCTCCATACCTGTCAGTGTTTCTCAGGAAACATAACCAAATTTGTCAATGACACATTTGATGGCTTTGATCAAAACCTAATGTCAGGAGCAATTTTTCTGGATTTCACTAAGGCTTTTGATTTAGTAGATCATTATCTACTTTTGGATAAGCTGAATGCAACTGGCCTGTCTAGAACTACATTACTCTGTTTTAATTCATATCTACATCACAGCTCACAGTTTCTTTCATTGAAAGGATCACAATCGCAGCTACATGGTATCTCCAGGGGTGTCCCTCAAGGCTTCTCTCTTGTAGTGATGTGTTGGTCGTAAACGAACTGGCTCTAAGAGCCGGCTCTATGAAGTGAACGACAGGAGCTGGCTCGTCATTGGGAGCCGTCACCCTCCCTCCCCTCCCCCTCTTGCTTTGGTGAAAGCCACAGGCAGGTGTAACTGCATGTCCAGACTATCCACACACAGAACAGTAGGGGCGGGGAAGAGGGAGGATCAGACTCAGACAGACACACAGCAGAGCACATGTGGGGTGGAGGGAGACGAGAGGGAATGAGGAGGAGGAAAAAGGCGATCGAGAGAGGAAAGTGCAACGAAGATGGTGAGAAAATGAGTG